TACTTGGTGACATTTGCTTCAGATCATTAGCAACGAAGAAAGCAGTATGTAAGCTGGCAGAGTAATCGAAGTGGACACTCTGGTATGTTGTTTCCCACTAAAGATCAAGGTTCAGATACTCAGGGATGTAAAACAGACAAAAAAAGCAGTCACCTATGGAAAATATCATGTGAACTTTATCCCAATAGTGTAATTTTATTTGATATAGAAATCATTTCCTTCATCTCCAAAAGGGAAGCTTTGAAAATCATTTTCCTGACTTCTATGGCTCTTGGTGATAGTTTCTCATGGGGACACTTGTATATTGGTCTCTGCCAAATTTGCCACTTTTATGGAATCATAAATGGTGCTTTTCTTGAAGAAGAGGACTAATTTAATCATAAATGGAGTTCTAAACCTCTTAGTATTCTGAAGGGCTCTTATAAAGTTTGACATTGTAAATGTGAAATAGTTCACAGAAAATTTTAAACAAATACTTAGGATTTCAGCTAAGAAATGCAACATCTTTATACTTGGGAGAGGAAGAAATCTAGCAGTAGAGCATTGGACAAAATGCCCTCCCTGTCTCATGCACATCTCGTCTAACTCTGGTTAAATCAAAGTCTCTATCTGCTCTACACCTACTTCCTAGCAAGGTGAGCAGTTGAACTTCCGAAGCAGTTGAACATGGCTAGAGAAAAAACACACAGCCGTATTAACTGGCATCATTTCATTTTTAGGACTGTCAGTGTGAAGTTGTCCCACTGATAGGCTATCCTCATGATATCAGTTGATACATCAAAGTATGAGGCTGTTTTGAACTCCCAAGCACTCTACGGTCTAAGCACTATTATTATCTCAGTTTTACACATCAGAAAACTAAGGCACTTAGCTGGTAAGTAAGTTTCTTGAGGCCATAATCATAAGTGACCCAGCCAAGACTGGATCGCGGTCTGGCTCCACGATTCGTGACTAGTAACTAGCACGCTATACTGCCTCTGCCATCTTCTCTCATTTTTCTGGTAAGCTTGGTTCTCTACTGTTAGAGAACAATATTTATACACATATCTTCTCTTAAAGCCTACAAGAATCATTCCCTTTTCTTCATTCTTTATTGATGAACTTGGTTTTACTTCCCTGAGAAAATAAATTATTCAGAAAAGGACGCATTCATCTTTCCATTGCCCAGGCTCCATGAATTTGCATCCATATACCCCACTCTCTTTCCTGACACAGTGGGTAAAACATCCTTATTCAGATAAGGCTGCTGAAAACTGTTCCTCCAAAGTGTACTGATTTCCATTCCCTCTGGCCTGCTCTGGAATTTGGCTCTTACACCAATCAAATGTAGGTTTGGTCTTTTCACATAGTGCCATATTTCTTGGAGGTTTTTCGTTCTTTTTTCTCTAATCTTGTCTTCATGCTTTATTTCATTAAGTTGATCTTCAATTTCTGCTATTGATTCAGCTATTGATACTTGTTTATGCTTCCTAACGTTCTTGTGCTGTGTTTTTTAGCTCCATCAGGTCATTTATGTTCTTCTCTAAACTGGTTATTCTACTTAGCAATTCCTTTAACCTTTTTTCAAGGCTCTTAGCTTCCTTGCATTGGGTTAGAATGTGCTCCTTTAGCTCAGAGGAATTTGTTATTACCCACCTTCTGAAGCTTAATTCTGTCAATTTGTCAAACTCATTCACCATTCAGTTTTGTTCCCTTGTTGGCAAACAGTTGTGATCCTTTGGAGGAGAAGATGCCTTCTGGTGTTTGGAATTTTTAGCCTTTTTGCACTGTTTGTCCTCATCTTTGTGGATTTATCTACCTTTGGTCTTTGCTGTTGGTGATCTTCATATGGGGTTTTGGTGTGGATGTCCTTTTTATTAATGTTGATGCTATTCCTTTCTGTTTGTTAGTTTTCTTCTAACAGTCAAGCCCGTCTCCTGCAGGTTGGCTGGAGTTTGCTGGAGGTTCACTCCAGACCCTGTTTGCCTGAATATCACCAGCACAGGCTGCAAAATAGCAAATATTTCTGCCTATATCTTCCTCTGGAGGCTTTATCCCAGAGGGGCACCCACCAAATGCCAGCTGGACCTGTCTTGCATGAGATGTCTGTCGACCCCTGCTGGGAGGTGCCTCCTACTCAGGAGGCATGGGGGTCAGGGACCCACCTGAGAAGGCAGTCTGTCCCTTAACAGAGCTTGAGCAGTGTGCTGAGATATCTGCTTCTCTCTTCATAACCAGCAGGCAGGAACGTTTAAGCCTGCTGAAGCTGTGCCCACAGCCACCTCTTCCCCTAGGTTCTCTGTCCCAGAGAGATGGGAGTTTTATCTATAAGCCCCTGACTGCGGCTGCTGCCCTTCTTTCAGATACACCCTGCCCGGAGGAGGAATCTAGAAAGGCAGTCTGGCTACAGCAGCTTTGCGATGTTGCTGGACTCCACCCAGTTTGAAATTCCTGGCGGCTTTGTTTACAGTGAGGGGAAAACTGCCTACTCAAGTCTCAGTAGTGGTGGACGCCCCTCCCCACACTCAGCTCAAGCATCCCAGGTTGACTTCAGACTGCTGTGCTGGCAGCAAGAATTTCAAGCCAGTGGATCTTAGCTTCCTGGGCTTCCGGGATGAAGCGACGCCCCACCCTGCTTTGGCCTGCCCTTCCTGGGCTACAAACACTGTCTAACCAGTCCCAATGATATGAGCCGGGTACCTGAGTTGGAAATACACAAATCACTTGCCTTCTGCGTTGAGCTGCAGACCGGAGCTGTTCCTTTTGGCCATCTTGCCAGCCACACCATCAATTCATTTTTTAAAAGTCACCTCCTGAATGTATAGGTTTTTGCAGTCACTGGATCAGCCATGCAGTCAATCCAATTCAGTCTCAGAAGGGGTTTAGATTAAGTGCTTTTAAACTTTTTTTTTTTTTTTTTTTTTTTGGATTGTTTTTTTTTTTTTTTTTTTTTTTTTTTTTTTTTTTTTTTTTTTTACCTTCCCAACATGGGCAGTCTTTGAAAATTTTCCAGCACAGAAATGACATTCGTGAAAAGATTTGCAGGCATTAACCTTGTTGCATCCCCTTTATTGCTGTATGATTTCCTTTTTACCTTTAAGTACTTAAAAAGCACATTTGCCCTTGTTACTAGAAAAACTAATGTTGGGCAATTGATTAGGATCTTTACTAATCTTCATGTTTCCTGATTCATATTAATAAAAGAGTGAAAAACCAATGGCCTCATTTGAGGTCATTCCAAATAAAGCCTTATCTTCATCTTCCCATTTGAGCACTCAGTTTAAGAGCAAAAACTCATCACAGAGCAGAAAAAAGGGCAAGTTTTAGCTGTTAAGCTTCAGACTGACTTGATCCGAAATAAATGCTTTGTAATCTCTCTTTAAACAAAGGCTTTAGCTTCTGTAATCCTCTTCTTTATCTATTCCTATGAAGCCTCCTGAGGCTGAAGCTGCTGTTCACGTCATTTTTATAAACAGCCTAGATCTCTGCCCACAAATTGCTTTCCAAGGGTGATGGCAGTGGTGTCAACTTAGCTCAAGTGTCATGAGTCATTTTTCCCTCCTGTCCAAGCAAACCCCAGCATCCTCTGCTTGTTTTCTCATTGCACAGACGTCCTGTTACTGAGCATCTATTCAGCCAAGAGCCCCGGCTCATTAAAGTGTGACTAAGAGACTATTGTGTCTGCCTGCACCTTCTGTTCTTGAAAAGCCATCCATTTGTTGTGTAAATACTCACTGTGCCACATTATATCCAGGGCTCCTTCCAAAGTCTGGTGCCTTTGACAGGGTCCTTCAGTGCCTGTAAATTTCCACTGCCTTTCCTAAAGGAAACTTAGTGTCCATGACACCAAATGAATGGTTTTAAGAACGATGATCTAACCAGAATTGAAATGGCTTACACTGGCTCAGTCACTATGGGCTTTCTAACAGGTATCTGAAGATACATGTTGATAAAAAACCTTCATATGGAGGCAATGATAAGTCATACTTCAAATAAATGGCAAAAAATAAAAATAAAAACATAGCTCTGTGGATAAATATTAGAGAGGACATCCACCATTTGATGCAACTCTTATAGCAGAGCCACGTGTGCTCCTGCATGAGTGCAACACACATACACCATACACACAAGGACTCTTTCCTAACAGCCACCCTTCTACCTTCTCACCAGCCCAAGTTCTAGTTATTGTATGAGAAAAACAATCTCTGGATAAATCCTCGTAAGACTGACTTGGACTTAGAACTCAGGTTAGACTCATTGTTAAATAGAAGCCATAGCTGGGAATAAAATGAGATCTGGATTCTCAAGTAGCATCTAGTTAATGAAAGAGGCATGGCTATTGATTTAAACAGACCTCAGTTTAAATCCCCCCATATGTTATTTATTAATTGTGTTATAAGCAAGTACCTTAAACTTTGCGTCTCACTTTCCTCTTATATATAAGGCTTCCTGAAAGCATTAACAGTGACGTATATGAAGTGGCCAATACAAAGTAAGACCTCAAGAAATGGTGGGCACCTTCTTTTATGTGCCAGCTCTTTTTCTTATTGGACAAGGCGTCCGACCTCTTCGGGCCCCAATTTCTTTCTCAAAGAATCAATTCTGGTGTTCAAAGATTCAGAACTTAGTGCTCACACGTTCAGGAGGGGGACTGATATAAAGAATCAGGATTTTCTGGATAAGTTGATGAATCTCCTTCCCCTCTTGGGTGTTCCTGAATGAGTGGTAGATGGATAAAAGTCTGGTGTCCACATATGCACAAATGCTAATAAAATGAGGTGTGATGATGGCACCTTAAAGTAGAAAGTATAAAATCTCCACTCTTGTCTTGGCTTTCTCTCTTTCCCTTGCTTTATCTCCTTTCTCTCTTTTACTCACTTTATCTCCTTCTGCCTCTCCCTTTTTCCAAATGTCAAATGTAATCTCATACTTAAATTTCATAAAATTATTAACACTCTTGTAAAATGATATACAAACATAAGTTATTATTGTGAATTATGTAATCATTGTTGCAGACATACATTTAAGTCAGCGTCTCCAACCTTCCTTGGCTGTAAACCAACATTCAACTCTGTATTTTCCTAAAAAGCAGTTAATTGAAGAAAAGTTAATGCTCTTAGAGGGCTTTATATAGCAAATACAGGGTAAAGGAATCATGTCTTTTTGCATTTGGTGAGTTTTCTGAAAGTTCTCTTTTCCACATCCATACGTGATTTGTATTAGGCAATTTCATCTCTTACTCAGAAAAAAAGGCAGGATTTTCACACTCTGCCCTCATGTAAAAATTTCAAAAAAGCTTTAAAAAATGAGAATGATTTTGTGAAGACTTCCTTGAATGCCATTAGAAAAATTAACTTCCTACAAGGGAAACAAATTCAGCTGTAACTAAAATGGTATCATTTTTAAAACTGTACATATACAGGGACTCTCTGGATACTTTATTAAAGGTAAAGGATAAAAGAATTGAAGTAGGATTGATCAGTGTGTATATGTGTATTCTGTTTTGAGTTTATTCACCGGCATTTTTTTTTTTTTTTTTTTTTTTTTGGAGTCTCGCCCTATTTTTTAGGCTGGAGTACAATGGCGCAATCTTGGCTCACTGCAACCTCTGCCTCCCGGGCTCAAGCGATTCTCCTGCCTCAGACTAAGTAGCTGGGTTTATAGGCATGTGTCATCATGCCCGGCTAATTTTTTGTCTCTTTAGTAGAGACGGGGTTTCACCATGTTGGCCAGGCTGGTCTCGAACTCCCGACCTCATGATCCACCCACCTTGGCCTCCCAAAGTGCTAGGATTACAGGTCTAAGCTACTGCGCCCAGCCTTCACTGGCATTTTTCACTTTCTTTTTTAAGATGATCAGTCTATCCTAAAATTGCCTTTAAAAGACATGAATTCATCTGGCTCAAATATTGGAATTTTCATTCTCTCTCTTACTGATTTTTGTAACTACTGTAACAAACTGATATCCAGGACTGCCTATGATAATAAACTGGTATCCTAGGCTGTCTGCAGTTCCTCACCTTATGGATATTCCCAAAAAGGGTGCTAACTTGAGTTAGCAAGGTGAATCTCTAGAGCAAGTCTGATAGCAAGTAATCATGGAGTAATATCCATTAATATTCCATATTCTATTGGTTAGAAACAAGTCCCAGGTACCACTCATGCCAGGAGGCAGGGGATACAAGGGTGGACTCCAACTTAGAATCTGTCCACCACAATTTGTATAGAAGGCAGAATCTTGGAAGGGGTTAAAGGACCCTTCAGAAGCAATCAATGCCCTTCAGGAAGGTAAGATTTGAGGTGATGATAGAAATAATAATGTGGCCAGTCCAGAGATGCTAATACTTGGCACATTATTAAACCCATCTTTAAAAATCTTTGCTCCTTGTTTATTTAGAGAAGAAATGAAGACATTTGAGGGGAGAAAAGAAGAAAAAAACGAATGCTGAAGACAGTAGTCTAGTTTGGACATTCACTTATTTAAATAAATCCTTGCATTTAACTTCCACCTTCTAAAGAAAGTGGTCTAGTGATCATCTGTTGTTAATCAGCTATGTTCTCTATGGCCTCACCATCCCAACCCAGAAGCTGACTATAACATTATTCCTTTTAACTACAAATAATACTATTCTAAGAGAAATTCTGGTAAATTTAATTTTCTCTCTTTCCATTTCCAGTGATATTATAACGGTGTCTAATGTATTAGTTTCTAAGTAAAAGACTATATCCTTAATTGGGCTGTGCTTTTATATTCATATAGCAGTCTTTAAGCTCAGCAATGTGAAAGAATTAAGTTGGGTAGTAGCTTTAAAAATTATTAGGTTTTGTTTGTGTTTTTTTTTTTTTTTCTTTTTCACCACCAAGGACAGCTTTTAGCTCCATAGGTCTAGGCTATTTCAGTAACCCAGAAATCATGCCCAAAGAGTATTAGCTTCATTGTTAATATCTTCATCATATTCTCCTGCTCGTCTCAAATTTAAAACTACCAAGAATTTCCTTTGGTTACAGAACAAATATCCTCTAATCTAATAGATATACATAATATTGTAAAATTATAGCGTGAAGATGATCAACTTGTCTCTTGGAAATTTATGCCAACCACTTTTTATGGCTCTTTCCTGGGGTTCCCACACAAACTCTGGTTCCTGGCTCGTTTCTCTCCTCCCATATAACTACCATTCTGTAAAGAGGAGATTATACTAACCCCTCCTTTGACTCCTTACCCTACTGCTTTATGGTATCAGCTTTAGACATTGTTGAAAAATGTTGTGACTTCAATCCCACCATTCTGATAATGACAATTTTATTAGTCTTCTAAGACTTCCAGAACAATATACCAAGACTGGGTAGCTCAAACAATAGAAATATACTTCTCACAGTTCTGGAGGCTGGAAGTCCAAGGTCAAGGTAGTAACAAGTTTGGTTTCTCCTGAGGCCACTCTCCTTGGCGAGCAGATGGCCACCATCTTGCTGTGTCCTTACGTGGTCTTTCACCTGTATGAGTGCATCTCTAATGTCTTTCTCTCTTCTTATAAGAACACCAGTCCCACTGGATCAGGGCTCCATCCTTGTGACCTCATTTAACTTTCATCGCCTCTTTAAAGATCCTATCTATCTCCAAATACAGTCATTTCGGGCTTCAATATATGAGTATGGTGGAAGGGGCACAGTTCAGCCCATAACAAATTTGATGACAACTATTCAGGGTTTACTTGAATAATGCATTTTATTTCGTACTCTTGACAAGTCCCTTCTTAAAAAAAACTTTTAATCCTCCTCAGTTTCTATAACACTACACTTTCCTGGTTCTGCTTATTTTCTTGGCCACTCCTACTCATTTTCCAACCAAATTTCTCTTCTCACAACCTCACCTAATTGTTGTTCATTTCTATCCTCAGTCCCAAGCCCTGTTCTTATCTCATTTAAAATGATTTCCCCACGGCATATTAATCATGTCACAGCTTCCAACATGGTCTACTTTCTACAGACACACACTAGTGTAGACCTCTCTTGTTACTAAAATTATATGATTCACTTTGTGTTGAACATCCTGGGACACTGTAGGCATGCAATCTATATTGGTTAAATTCATTCACTCATTTATTCTTTCCAAAATTATTCACTGATCACTTTCTAAATAGAAGGCACTGTTTTAAGTGTTTGGATACGTCATTAAACAGAAGACCCTAAGATTCTTGTCCATAAGGAGCTTCTCATCCTAGAAGAGGGCAAGCAGTGGTCAATAAACATCCTGAGTAAGTGAATTATACAACATGAGAGAAGGTGTAAAGTGCTATAATTAAAGAAAAAGTAGAGCAAAAAAAGGAGGATTAAAGACTTTTAGAGGGGAAGTTGAAGCATTAAATTATATGTTCAGGGGAAGCTCAATGAAAAGGGAATGTTTGAACAATGATTTAAAGGAAGTGAGAGAATAAATACAGTTGTAACATAGGCATTTCAAATATAATAGGTCTGAAACCTCCTTTCAACTCATCTCTTCCCCGAGGTTCCCAATGTGATCGCCATTCATTCTTTTACTAAAGTGACCATATAAGTTTGTCTGCCAAACAGAAACACACTGGAAAATAAAAGGATGGTAAGACAGTCATAACCTGCCCAGCTCCAGGCAAGCTTGAAGATACAGATGCATGGGGACTAGTTGTCACCCGAGGCAGAAACTTGCTAGCCATCCTTGCTTTTTCTTTCTCCCTCATCCTTCTTTTTTTCCCCAAATTGTCCCAGTAGATCACCAAATTTTTTGATATGACCACTATAATATCTCTTCTCCATTTCTACTACTGCTGTCTTACTTCAGGATCTTAGGATCTCTGACTAAGACAGACACATGGCCTCAAAAATGCCCACTGTCTCTCAGTCTGTCCCCTCTGAAATCACTATCTTGCATGTCACACAGAATCGTCTTAAACACTCATATCATATCTAATGTTGATAAACACTCATATCTAATCTTGATGTTCTCATTTAAATCTTCTAGAGAAAGAGGGGAGGGGAGGGTTTGGATAGGGAACATTTGCAGAGGCTGAGAAGAGCAGGCCTTGACAGCTCCAGGAACCCACCCTGCTCTGCTAACGCAGAGGCCAGCACAACCTGTGGGTTCCTGCAATCTAGACGCTGAATACCTTCCCCGAAAGGTAAGAACACAGGGGGAATCAGCCACTTATCTCCAAAATCCACAATTTCCGCAGTTTCAAGTCTAAAGCTCAGTGTCTCACTAAGATTAAATGCCCATTATTGTTCTTAAGATGTGGGAAATTAAAAATATATCAGATCTCTCTATATTTCCTATTTCAGCCCAAATGAATCCAATTAGATTTCACTGCAAACTATAAAATACTCTAGGCCTATTTCCTCTTTAAATTGATTATAAAAGTTGATGCTCTTAAGTATAAGTGCAAATTAATCTAGGGAATTCCATGAAATTTTATTTCTTAATTAAGCAATTTAAACTAAATTACTTAACTGAAATGACTACTCTGGCTCCTAAGATTGTTCAAGGTCAGACAAATGTAATCAAATGTAACATAGTGATTTTTCACTTGCCATAACCCTTTTCATCAAACTCATTTCACTGCTTTGGACTTGATAGAAAGGAGAATTTGCACTCTTGAGCTCTCTAGAGCCTGGGATCAAGATTACGGGAGGCAAGACAAGGTGACAGCATTCAGGCCAATTGGAGAAGTTTCTGGAAAACAGAAATGTGGTCTCTATTACACTGAAAAAGGAGCCGGGGTGTTAGACTGCCCAGAAATCAAACTTTCTGCTGGTATACATGTGGCATTGCTCCAGTGAGCACAGTCCATTTGGCCAGCCAGATGGACCAGTCCTGGCAGCATTTCAGTCTCATGCACAAAACTCTTCAGCCTGAGAATGAGAAAAATCCGTAAACAAAAGTACAAATAGAGAAGATTCAGCATTGTGGCAAAACAATGGGGAAGATTCATGGTCTTACAAATGAGGTTTCTACAACATTGTCTGTGCATTTCACACATTCCGTTTCTTTTTTTCTTAATTTTTAATAGCTTATTTATCATAGGTGAAGGATGAGATTACTTATCTGAGGCTCCATGCTTTTGGCAGAAAACCTTTACAATGCTCAGTTACTCTCACCTGGAAGAAAGAAGGCAATTTCTAGCCTCTTTCTGTGAAATATACTAAATAATAGCAACCAAGAACATCGATAATCATCTAAGATGAAAAAGATCATTTGAAGATGCAAACTTTTATACTGTCAAATATCATAGAGACTCAGGCTAAAAGGATTAACTCACCAAAGACATTATTTTTTCTCATTTAGAAAGACTTACCATTTTCTCACTTTCTAACACCATTGAGTTCAATTCAATTTCTCCATTAGCTTTAATGATAATAATCTTCTGTCAATCAAGCTCTGCATCTGAGTTGATGTCCATTGATCATCCTTCAGCTGAACTGCCATGCCTACTCAATAATCATGGACAGTTTCTATTTCTTAAGTCAAATGCTTAGATGGGGGCATGGCATCACTGTAGTCTAACCATGTTTCTTCCTTTCTCACCCAGAGATTTCTGAGGGAAGGAGAGAGAAAAAGGAATTCATTTTAAACAGTCATCTCAATTTATACTTTTCATAATTATGGACTTTTGAAATTAATCTAAATGTATATATTAACTTACTAATCAATGGTTTACTAGAGAGAAGGTTAGATGGTATGAAGTGGTACAATGTCAACGTCTTCTACTTATTGAACATTTTAATCAAACACATTTTATTTACTTTTTTGTCTTTAGGTATATAAATTCATCCAAAGCTTAAAATATGGTCACCTCATTCCTCCTTTTCCTTCCTTCCTTTCTTCTTTCTGTGTTCCCTTTCTTTTTGCAAAGATTTGTTTAGCTCCTATTTTATGCCAGGTACATATTGGGGAATCTGTGTGACTTATCAATAAAATAAAGCATTTTGATGAATTTCAGGTATTATATGCAAGCTGCTTACATTGCTATTAGCCAATCTTCAAGTGCCTCCATATTTGCATATTGATGGGATATCAAGTTTCAGATCAAACATCACAAATAAAATCACCTAAGTGGAATAATTTTGAATTTTAGATTTTGTTTTGTTTTTAGTTATGGTTAGACCATACTTAGTCTGGCTTGTTTGGAAGACTAGATTCCTTAACCCAATCTCAACAATTCATTCAGAAATATTGGAATTTTTTTTTTTATTTCAGATGAAGAATAATATAATTTTCTGTCTGTAATAATGTAAAATATATATTTGGCATTCAATCATCTTTCCTGGTATACAACTTCTAAAATCCTTAGAAACTCCAGAGCGATGTCTTTTGTTATGCTATTGATTGGCAGACTGATGTCTGGCAGCCCCTAGCAGCTTCAGAATGGGGCTGATCACAGGAAAGACCGAAGTAGGATTAAAGGATTGGAACTTTTAGCCCTGCTATCAACCACTGGGGAGAAAAGTGGGGTTGAACGTTAAGTTGATCACCAATGGCTAATAGTTTAATCAATTATGCTTAATAAAGCTTCCATAAAAACTCAAAAGGACTAGGTTCAGAGAGCTCCTGGATAGCTAAACACGTGGATGCTGGCAGGAAGGTGAGCAAGAGCTCAAACATTTGCTGGGATGATGGTACACCTCAACTCCACAGGGACAGAAGCTTCTGTGCTTGCGACACTTCCAGACTTTGCCATATAAATCTCTTCATATGGCTATTTATTTGTATCCTTTAAAATATCCTTTGTAATAAGCTAGTAAATGAGAGTAAATATTTCCCTGAGGTTTGTGAGCTACTCCAATAAAGGTAATCATATCCAAGGAGACAGTTGTGAATTAATAGCTAGTCAGCCAGAAGCACAGGAAAAATAACCTGGGGCTTGTGGTTGGCACTGGAAGTGAGAGGTAGTCTTGGGGACTGAGCCCCACCTTGTGGGATCTCCAGGGTAGTTAGTGTTGAAAATTAACTAAGGGCACCCAGCTGGTGTCTGCCACAGATTAATTGCTTGCTTTTGGTGGGGAGAAATCCCCACACATTTGGTCACAGAAGTCTTCTGTGTTGATTATTGTTATAGTGTGAGAGCAGAGGAAAGATAGTGTGAGTTTTTTCCCCCATAACTGTCCTTTTGTACCAACTACCTTTTCGGAAGCCATCCATTCATTCATGTTTTTCTATCACTTCTGCAACCAGTCATTTGCCACCATGGGCTCAAGTTCCTGATAAAACCCTCAGAATCCAGTGGCACGTTTAAGTCACTTTGAGGGGTCATTTCTTTAAATATGTTTTCCACCATAGTATGAGCTCTATGTTTCTCATGTTGCTCCTTGTAATGCCTCTGAAACAAATCTGGAGTGTAAGACTAGAATTCTTCTGGCTTAGTCCTTGACATGCTTATCCCTTGGCAGATAGTTTTCAGAGACATAGAAAGTCTTGTCATTAGACCCTCAGCATGTTTGCAAAGTGAACATAGTTTTACCATATTCCTTTATCTGGTACCTTCCTTTCCCACGTGCCATTTGGTGGCCAAAGCTTGCCATTTTGATAAATACTAGATTATTTTAAGAATTGCATGCTTCAAATGATCTCTCCCCAAGTCTCTAGTAACCATTATTATTATTTCTTATCAATAATAATTACTATTAATCAAAAACAACCGTTAAAGAAGCTGATCTCAGCTTTGTAGGAAGAATACAATCTCATTATAGTAACTTATTTTTAAGTTAGAAATGACTGCTAAACATAATAAATACAAGTTCTTATTGAGTTATATTAAGGTAATTGTAGCTTTACATGAAGTCATAAGGAATAATACAGAGGGAGCTCATGTACCATATACCCAGTCTTACCGTTACATTTTGTAATAGCACAATCCACAATCAGAATATTGACAGTGATATAACTCACCAGTCTCAGAGTTCTCTAGTTTTACGTGTACACATGTGTATGTGTGTTTATTTATTTCTACACAATTTTATAACATAGGCAGTACACGTATACAGATTGGAAAAAGACTATCCCACAAGTTACCCACTGTATAATTCCATTCATATCTCATTCATTAACATTTTTGAAATGACAAGATTATAGAAATGGAGAACAGACAGTGGTTTCTGGGGTTTACAGATAGGAAGGGGAAATGAGGAGGTGTGGCTATCCTTGTGTATCCATTTTCCAATCTATATAAATTTTTTTTTTGAGATTCAGCCAAGCTGTTTATGTCAGTGGTTCAGTGGTTTTTTTCCTTTCTGTTTTCTGACTAGTATTCCATAGTATGGTTATACCACAGTTTGCTTAACCCTTACCCATTGAAAAACATCTGGGCGGACTCCAGGTTTTGGCTATCACAAATAAAGTCCTGTGAACATTTGTGTACAGGTTTTTGTGTAAACAAATGTTCTCATTTCTCTGGAATAAATGCCCAGGAATGCAGATGGTGGGTCATATAGTAATTGCATACTTAGTTTTATAAGAAACCACCTCTTATCTAGAATGGCTGTGCCATTTTGTATCTATTCCAGCAATGTATAAGCAATTTAGTTTACCTGCATCCTTGTCAGCATGTGGTATCATCACTATTTCTTATTTTAGCCATTCTGATAAGTGGATAGTAATATTTCACTGTGGTTTTAATTTGCATTTCCCTAATGACTAATGACGAACATCTTTGTGTGTGCTTATTTGTTATGTCTATAGCTTTTTCGGTGAAGTCTCTTCATGTTTCTTACTCATTTTCCGATTGGATTTGTTGGATTTTACTGTTATGTTTTCGTGGCTTTTTATATATTCTAAAAACTAGTCCTTTGACATAATGGATTTTGCAATGGTTTTCCTTAGTCTGTAGCTTGTCTTTTTTGTTTCTTCATATGAGTTTTCACACAGCAAAAATTATTTTGGTGATGTTCAATAATTTATCAATTATAATTTACCATTTATAAAAAATAATTATCAATTTTTCCTTTCACGAATTCTGCTTTTTATGTCGAGCTAAGAATACTTTAAAGAAGGTTTCATTAGTCAAAAGCAACTTTAGGAATTGATAAATTATAGCATATTCACACTATGGAATATTACAATTGAGCAATGAAAACAATTATTTTCACAACAGGCAAAAGTATGAATGAGTCTCATAAATACAATGTCGATCAAAGAAACCAGCACAAAAGAGTACATACTATACAATTCCATTTGCATAACATCTTAAAAGTATCAAAATATGGTGCCAACCTTTAGAAGAGAGGTTACCCTTTTGAGGAGAATAATGGGTGCAAAGCAGCATGCGAGTTTGCCTGGAATTCTGAGTTTGCTCTTTTTCAACCTGGTTGAAAATTACATGGGTGTGATCAGTTTATGAAAATTTATCAAGCTATACACTAACGATATGTAAACTGTATACATATTGAACTTCGATTAAAACAAATAAAACCACACAGAAAGTATATTTTATAAGTAAGGGCAGTGCCATCCCCCACAATTCAAGGAGAGTGAGATCCCACACATGACAAACCTTCTGAAATTTTGCCTGCATAACTATTTGTTGAGGAATATCTCTAGCAAATATGAAACAATTCTACCTAGGCACAAAGAGGTTTAGCTCTAATTTGTGATGAGATTAGGAGAAATCTTAAGGTGGCCTAGCTGGAAGTCCAATACTCTGCAGACACGTGCATTGTATCTTTTGCAAAGCTCTTTGGCCCTTCAAGAGCTAATTTAAGCAATCAGTTTGATTGATGTATAATTTGCATCTAATTAAATGCATCTATCCATTTTAAGTATATGGTTCAATGCACTTTGACAAATGTACACAATTGTGTAATCACCACCACCACAATCAAGATACAGAACATTTTCATTATTCTTCCATTACTCTTCAGAAGCTCCTTGTGCCTCTTGAAGTCAATCTGCCATCCACTTCCCCTTCTGACCTGAAGCAACCATTGATATGCTTTCTGTTGCTATGGATTAGTTTCAATACAGAGCTATAGCTCTAGAATATCATACAAATTAAATCGTGCATTGTGTCTTTTTATTTCTGGCTTCTTTCCGTCATCATCTATGTTTCTAATATTCATCCATGTTTGTGCTTTCTTTTCTTATTATTCTATTAAATTTCATTTTATGTATATACCACAATTTTGTATGCATTCACTTGTTGATAGATACATGACTTGTTTCTATTTTTTGTTTTATTATTTAAGTAAATCTTTTATGAGCTAATATGTACAAATCTTTATGTGGATACATCAGGGTTCTTTGGCAAGAAGAAATAGAAAAGGAATATTCCAGGACCATAATTTCAGATGCCAAAGGGCAGGTAACACAAATAAGTGAAGCAGATTCGGTATAAGATAAAAGGTATGATTAGGAATATAGCAACTTGCCACATATTCAGTTTTTAATTCTTAACTTATGGAAATAATGTTAAGAAAGCTGAAGTGATTACACACAACCACCTCAAAATAAAAAGTAATATAGGTCAACTAATTCTTTGGATCAGATAACAAGCAACTCTTTTTATAACTTCTATTTCCCACAGGCTAGCGTATCATTAAGAAA